AAACTTCACTAATATAACATGTCCATTTATAGTGTGTTTATCTAAATTCATTAAATACTTTTAATACCTTGTCACATTATTTTCACAAGTTGACTATAACAACTTTACTTTCTTTGAAAATTTTAAACCTTATTGTATTCTAATTTAACATAATAAATGATTATGATTTACAAAATGACATTTACGCTCTTAAGTCATGAAGTAGACAATCTTACTTTTAGAACTTACAAGTTTTTCAACTTTTTCATGTTATGCACATAAAATTGTAGGTAAGTCATGTATGTATAGAATTACTTTATTTATATGTGTCTTACAAAGGAGCATTTGGAGGTTGTGTGTTTGCTTAATTGGTCTTATATTAAATAATTTTTAAGCATGGACATGTTATATATCTTTACTATATAAAACTCAACATAGTTAATATTGGACATATTTAAAACTCCACAAGTTGAAGTAAGCATTCAAACTCAAAAATTTGGTTTCTAGTGTCATAATCAACTTCCATACGTGTAAAAATGGCAAAACGGATTAGTCAACCTCGTTTTGGTCCATCCCGCCACTCACCCACAAAAACGAGACAAGCTTGGCTAGTTCACTATACTAAAATGAGTTGAAAATTTTGACCTATCTTGCCAATGGGTGGACAAACCTATCATTATTTGTCTAAAGAAATTGTTTATATGTATATTTACTTCATTATAATAAGTTATTGAAATTTAACTTGTAAGTGTTAATAACTTAAATTACAATATTATTGCATGCTTGCATCTTTAAGTGATATAATGTGACAATTTTAATATTTTAATTTTTAATTTAAAAAAACGTGTCAACCCACCCTGACTCGCCTTTGGTCTGCCAATTTAGCGAGTTAGACGAACAAGTCAAACCAAACTTGTAAGTTAAGAATTCCAACCAACTAGTCAAATTTTGGTGGGTTGCCAAGCAAATTCATGGATTATAACCTACTTTGTCACCCCTAGGGCTATGTGAGTCAACATTCATAAACAATATTGTAATTTGTTAATCATTGTGTATACTCAATTTGTTATTGTCGTATGATCTTCATGTTATTTTTATCATCTATTCATTAAATAATGTCTATTATATTTTTTTTTAATGTAAACTTTGTATAAGCTTTAAAAATATTTACTCTTCATAAAAGTGTATTGTGTTTTAGTACTTAAGTAGTCTAATAAAATTTATTTTAAGCTTTTTTTCATTTTGTCATATAAACTTATATTTATTGATCCAGAGGCAAATAAAAACATAGCTTTATTTATTATCAACAAAGTTTTATTTATATCAATAAAGTTTTTAAAATTAGACTATTGTCTATTTGTGTGAAATTTCATGTGTTTTAACATCGTCTCCTTTTCCTACTTCAAAAACTCAATATATCCTACACAAACATCGAGATAATTTGAGTAACCCTACTTGACATTTACACAATTATTCATCACACAAAATTGTTAGTAAAAATTTTATCTCATCCCAAACATACCTTAATATTTTTTAAAGTGTCATGATAAAACTTTTCGTCACAATCTTACATATTTTATAATAACTTCAAAAATTTCTTTATCCACCTAAGAGCAACGTGACTTGTGTACATGAGAGATAACTCCATCATGTCTCAATGGAAAACTATTAACATGGTGATATCAATCAACTTTTAAATTGTCCCTCCAATTTTAAACAAAAAGAGTATATACACTTTGGACAGAAGACAAAAGACAATAGTAAATTATATGCATAAGAGATAACTTCATTATGTCTCATTGGAACTAAGCAACATTGAAGTATTCATCTAGTTTTAAACAAAAGGAGTGTATAAACTTTCAAAAAGATGAAGACAACATTTAAAGTTACAACATTGGAAACATAAGTAAAATATAATCTCAAGCGTCCCTTCGATAGCCTCTTTATTAACTTTCTAATTAATGTCAATTCGTAGATTTCTTAATTGACATTGAAAAATAATAATAATTGTATTTAAATGTTTAGGCATCATAATAATACTAAACAATATACGTCATAATACATTGATCCTAACCATTTATTATCATAGGTGAAAAATTGTACGTCATAATACATTGAACATATTATGACTGATAAAAATATCTACCTCATAATACATTGTCATATTATAACGGACAAATAAAAATTTGTCATAATAAACTGTGTATGATTAATTACAGAAACTTTCGAGCATGTAAATTTCTATTACATTATAATATGCACAGACATACTATATCACCCATAACTATGTCCCCAACAACTACGTCATAATAGATCATTTTTGTACATCATAAAATGTGATTTTTGCTCTAGTGACAGAATGTTGACAAAAAATAATCAACCTTGAAATTAAAAAATTATCACATAAAACAATGTTAAAATTTATAAACAAAACTAACTTAGAAATATTTCAATCTTAATCATATAAATGACATTCCATTAACTTTGAATTGAAAAAGGAATAAAAACATAAAATTAAAAATATGAAAAACTTTAAATTTTTAATTTTTAAATACATTTTTTTTAATTTTAAGATTTTAATTTTGTTTAAGAACATTATTTAAATGATATATTTTATCGTAAAATATTTTATTTTTCTTATAAAAGAAAATTTTGTCTTCGCATTCTCTTTTCAAATATAATTAAGGTAAAAAAATCCTATTAAAATATGTGTTTAGTATTTGAGTAGTTTAATGATACTTCTTTTAAGCTTTCTTTCATTTTGTCATATAGACTTATATTTATTAATCCACATTAGGTAGCTTAATTGGCAAATAAAAACATAGTTTTATTAATTGACAAAATTTTGAAAATTAAACTTTTGTCTATTTGTGTAAAATCTCCTATGTGACTTGAGTAATATATCCGTACACAAATTTTGAGATGATTTGAGTAACTTATTTGACATTCACAAAATTATTCATCACCAACACACAAAATTATGAGTAAAACTTTTATCTCGTCCTAAAAATACCTTAACATTTTTTAAAGTGTCATGATAAAACTTTTGGTTCAATCTTACATATATTACAACAACCTCCGAATTTCATTATCACCTAGGAGCAATGTGACTTATGTAGATGAGAGATAACTATGTTATGTCTAACTGGAAAGTTATTAATATGATGATATCAAACAACTTTTAAATTGTTACTCCAATTTTAAACAAAGGAATATACACACTTTTATAAAGAAAAAAAAAAAACAACAATAAATTATGTGCATGAGTTAGGAAGTTGCTAATATGGTGTTATCAAGACTATTTGAAATTGTTCCTCTAGTTTTAAACAAAACGAGTGTACAAACTCTCATGATGATAAAACAAGAATTAAAGTTGCAAAAGTAAGTAAATATAATCTCAAGCAAACCCTTGTTAGTGCAGTCTCTTTTGATATATATAAAATATGGTGATATGTGCCATTATAGCTCTGTTAAACAATGATAGTGGTTTGGTTTGGTTTCACTTTATTGATTGATTCTTAGTTTTTATATATTTATAATTTTTGTGATTGATTGAAGACAAACGCACTTGGGTTGAAGAAAAGAACAAATTTAAATTGTTTAATTGATATAAGAGTACATTATAGCACAAGTTAATCGATAAAATTGATAAAATATTGTACACTTTATTTGTTGTTTACTTATTATTGATATCTACTGTTCCTGATCACTATTTGTAAATAAGAGTTAGTGGTTTTTAATCTTTTGGTACAGAGATTTAGTATTTGTTTTTATAATTAATGCCTTGAAGTGCGTCGTAACCTTTTCAATAAATAATAATAATAATAAAACGTGGTACACGACAGGAAGTATTAAAGAAATTATTTAATAATTAAAAAGTTAAACTTGCTTAATAGAAGTTACTAGATATTCTTAAACTAACACTTTAAGAATAAAAAAAAAGTCGTAGTAGATAAATTCAAAATCAAGGGTGTCTGCGAGCTGATCTACTTAACCCTAAGCCAAATCAAGGTATTTATTTGGAAGAAAAAAAAAAGGAACGTATTGGATATTTAATTGTTACGTAGTTTTGTATGAAATAAGAACCAATAATTTCAATATTTCAACTAGATTCATTAGTTCTAGATGATGAAAGGTGTCTAAATTTTCAAATCAATCTATTGATTAAATAGTTATAAAATGAAAATACATTTAAAAAAAAAACTTTACTTTAAAGATTAATTCTATAATATTTATATTTATATATACCGATTCGTCCTTTATTGTGTAAGAAATGCCATAATTACTTACTGTAATATTTTTGTTTGATTATCTCGTCACCATGTTATGATATTTAAGAATCCGATTTAATTTTAAACCAAGTTTTATTTTTAAAAATTAAACTAATATTGAGTTTACTGTCTTAAATATGTTTTTAGTTTGTAAAGTTAATGACCTTTGCTTTTGTTTTCTATCAAAGAAAATTTTTCCTTTTTCTTATTCCTATAAAATTTAAAATAACTCTTTTTCAGTGCTTACAAAATATATAGACTTTTTGTTTTAATTCAGAAAAGTTTATATTTCGATTTTTTTCCCTCCAAATGTTTTAATATTTGTTTTAATTTTAATATTTACTTCGAGATGAATTAACAGCCTTTCTTTTACAAAATTTAAGATTTTTTAAGTTAACGCACATCGATATTATATTAAAGCAGTAATATTTATTGAACACATAACTAATTAGTTAATATCTTACGATATTAATAATAAAAAAGTGATGATTTTAAATTTTAGAAAAATAAATGAGCAAACTAAATTTTCACTGTGTCTGAAAATATTAGTTATAACAATTTAATATTAATACTAAATTATATGTTTCTATGTAATATGGAGAATAATTATCGTATACTATTTTTAAGTTTTTGTAAGAGTGGTGGTGTGAGAAGTGCTTATTCTTTACTATATAATATTTTCCAAAGAGACTTTATTTTATTATTTATTATTATAATAATGATAATTATGTGCATATATAAGAAGTGCTTAATCATTGCTCACTTCAGAGTTTTCTTCTTCAAACAACTCTCACAAAACAATGGTGATTATTCCATTGGTTACCACTTCTCTCCTCTTCTTCTTCTTCTTTTTCTCGTCCGTCACCGTCGCTAAAACGCACCGTTTCGTGCAAAGCATTCCTCCTTCCTCCTTAGGCCTCCACCAGCCGCAGAAGCTCAGCCACCTCCACTTCTTCTTCCACGACGTTGTCGGCGGCCGCAACCAGACCGCGGTGCGGGTCGCGGCGGCACCCACCACAGACAAGTCCTCGACGTTGTTCGGCGCGGTGGTGATGATGGACGACCCGCTAACGGAGCTCCCAGATGCTGACTCCACAGTGGTCGGGAGGGCGCAGGGGATCTACGCGTCGGCGTCGACAACTGAATTAGGGTTTCTGATGGCCATGAACTTCGCATTCACGCAGGGGAAGTACAACGGGAGCAGCCTGGCCGTTTTGGGGCGGAACACGGTGGAATCAGCCGTGAGGGAGATGCCGGTGGTGGGCGGCAGCGGGCTGTTCCGGTTTGCCCGCGGGTATGCGCAGGCCAAGACGCATTCTATGATTATGTGGGAAGCTGTTGTGGAGTACGACGTTTATGTTTTACATTATTGAAGGGTTTTTGTATTACCAAAAAAATATGTGGATCCAAGTTCTTTTTCATATATTTATCATCATCTTTGTTTAAAACCTTTCTACGATATATATATATATATATATATATATATATATATATATATATAAACACAATATACTCTTTATATATATTTATATAAATAGTTTTTATTGTTAATAAAAAACCGTTTAATTGATGTCAATTCAATGATTTTCTTAATTGACATTGAAAAATAATAATAATTGTAATTAATGTTTAAATGTTGACAAAAAATAATCAACCTTGAGATTAAAAAAATTAGACTATATTTCATAAAAAAACAATGTTAAAATTTATAAACAAAACTATGTTAGAAATATTTCAACCTTAATCATATAAATGATGTTACATTAAATTTGAATTGAAAAATAATAAAAACATAAATTTAAAAATATGAGCAACTTTAAATTATTAATTTTAATACATTTTTTCTATTTTAAAATTTTAATTTTGTTTAAAAACGTTATTTAAATGATATATTTTATCGTAAAATATTTACATTTTTTATAAAATAAAGTATTCTCTTAACACTCTCTTTTCAAATATAATTAAGGGAAATAATTCTTTTAAAATATGAAGAGGACAAATGTGGCAGGACCATATTAGTTACTCTTTTATTTGTTGAAAATAAATTAAAAAAAAAGTTGTCAAAGACTACCAAATATCAAATCAACTAGCTGCATCAATATATTAATATGAGAAAACAAATCGTTGATGAAAATAATTGTACATGCTTGACAACTATTCCAAATAAATCTCTTTTAATCAATATTGATTTTTATGTCCATTGCATTCATTTGATTGATCCAAACACATCACTTCTGTGTTAGTGTAAGAGTAAGAGAGCTCGATATAGATGCAAAGTTATAACTGAGTTGTTAGATGATGGGTTGTTCATGAATGTAGTTGAGTTGTTAAATGATAAGTTGTTTAGAGTGTAATTGAGTAATTAGATAATGAATTTAGATCCCTAATCCAAAACATTTAAAGTTATCCGCTTCATCATTCAGTTACGTTCTGTCTTCTCTCTTTTTCTTGTCCAAGCTGTGGGGGAAGAGTGCATGCAAAAGACACTCCGACGCACCAGTGACTTTCCGTAATAATCTTGTAATCAAGATTAGTTATCAGAGTTCAAAGTTACATGTCCCCCTTGTCAGACAAATATTTATAAATTATGATTAACTTACCATTAGGTCTGACTCATTAATCACCAATAAATGACATTATTCCTATTAATTGTCAATAAATGACAATTATTTTCATTAACTCCCCATCAACGGTAATTATTATTATTGATTACCTTAACGACTATTTTTACCGATCGGTTAATTGTTTGTCCGCTCGGTTCATTGGCCTGAGAGGTATCATCGGTCAGCCATGAGCCCAAAATAACTTAGAGGCTCTTCTGCATCTTTACCGTTCGGTCGACTATGAGCCCATAGTAACAGATCATATGGAGGTGTAATTGAATTATTATACAATGAGTATCAAGGGGTGTAACTAAGTTGTTAGATGATAGATCATTTGTAGTGTAATTGAGTTTTTAAAGGTGTGGATGGATCGTCTCAGGTGTAATTGAGTTGTTAGACGATGAGTCACTTGAGAGTGTAACTGAATTGTTAGACATGAATTGTTTAAGGATGTAATTAAGTTGTTAGACGATGGGTCGTTTGGGAGTATAACTGAGTTGTTAGACGATGATAATGGGTCATTTGAAGGTGAGGCCGAGTTGTTAGAGGATGGGTCATCTTGGATAAATCAGCTTGTTCCAAAATACCCATTGTAATTTAGTGACACCTGGATCGCTTGGGGCCAGACTGAGTTGTTAGACGACGAGTCATCTTGGAGAGATCAACTTATTCTAAAATATCCATTGTAATTGATTGACACTTGTCCAAAACCATGGATTTTTTGATCATTTGCATATGTGTTGATTTGACTGTTCACTTCTTTTAAAATATAAATACTCACCCATTTAATAGATCATCTTGTAGGAGCTCAACCCGTAAAAGCTCAGTCTAAAGACTTCGTTATGAAAGAAGTATGTTTGTAGGAGCTTCACCTAGAGGAAGTCGATTTGAAGAACTCAACTTATATGAAGTTGGCTTGAAAGAGGTCAACTTGTGGAAGTTTAGACTGAAAAAAATTGACCTAAAGAACTTGATTTAAAAGAACTCAATTGAAGAAACTTAACCAAACGAGTTTTATCATATCTCATTACATAGTAATTTTATTAATATATTATTTTTATATACAAAAATGAAAACAATTATTAAAAAAAAATATCGCATAAGGACAAATCATTCGACTAGTTATGTTCACAGACTTAATGCAAATTCAAATTCACAAACCACATTTCTATACCTAAATTCCAAGCAAATGAACATTGATTAACTTATTTTTGTAAGAGTTTAATGACTAAATATTGAATGGTTTAAATTAGTTACATAATTTTGTTTTTAGAATACCATGTTGAAATAGTTGGTGCCTTTTAATTTTCTCATATTATACAATCCGCTCTTTATTTTTCTCTATTATTTCATTTAGGTTAATTATACATAAAATCTTATTTTTTGGTGCTTTTCTTAAATAGGTTTCTCCCTTATTTTTTTTGTCTCAATTGGGTCTCAATTTTTGATAAATTAAAGTGATTAAGGTCTTGCCTCTAGTTTTGTACTAACACGGTTAAAGAGAATGTCATGTGTTAGTTTTTTTTTTAAATATCTTTTAAATTATTTTTTATTTTTACTTTTTATAAATTTTAAAAAATTGTCACACATCAAACTGACATTGTGCCACATGACAATGACAGTGTGACGTGACACTAACAATGCCACATGCCATTGTTATGCCCCTTGTCATTGCATTAATGTTAATTTGGTCCTTGTATTTCTATTTTGTCTCAATTTGGTCTGTGTATTTTTATTTTATTTTAATATAGTTCTATTTTTTTCTTTAAAAAATTAAACAATTTTGTTCCTCTCTAAATTCAAACAAAATTTAATTTGTATATAAACCTTTGCAAATATTTTTATTAAATATTTTTAACAAGATTAAGTTTATTTATATTTATATTTAGTTAGTTATATAAATGTTAATTATGTTTAGAAAAAAACATTAACATGATATGCTAGGGTGGAGTGACTTAGTGAATAAATTATTGATGTGAAAATGAAATTTTATGTCATTGATATGAAATTTAACTTTTTAAAAATACAAATTTAGAGAAAATTTTCATTGAAACAATAATTAAAGATAGTTCATTCTTTCTTGATCTTCCACATTAATTAAAATTTTCACGACATTTTCTTTAATTTTTTATTTTAAGAAAATGAAATTCCATGTTATTAATTTGTTCATTGTTTTTTTTAATTCTTATAAGTATTTTTAAAGAATATAATTAAATTTTGTTTAAATTTAGGAAGGACAATTGTTTAGTTTTTAAAAATATTAGACTGAATTAAGACAAAATAAGGTTTAATACATCATTTGGTCCCTACTTATAGGGGTTTGGTTTAAAGTAATCCTACCTTTTAAAAAAGTTCAGTAAGACCCATATTTTGTTAAAAAAATGTTCAATTTGGTCCTTTTCGCTCACGCTGTTTAAAACATAACTGTGCAAATGTCACCGTGGCATCTCATAATCTCAAAAGCACGTGGCATACATTAATAGGTGGACTTAAATGATTTTTTAATTTAAAAAAAAAAAATCCCTGCCACATCATCATCACCATCTCCAGACAAAACCTAATTTCTGTCCAAGAAACCCTAGCCGTCGCACCATCCAGCACCGTCACTGTCATCCTCGCCGGCAGTCGTCCTCTCCAACACATCACACACCACCACCAAAGCTATGCGACAAGAACGCGAGAAACCCTAAGTCTCCACAGTTTGCTTGCAGGTCTGATTGTGGTTGTAGGTGGAGGCAAGCAGCGGCGCGATTAGTGGTGGAGAAGAGTGGTGATTCGCGATCTACAGCAGCTGGCGATTTGGCTGGTGGTTAGTGGTGGACGATTCTATGGTGGAGATTGGATGGCAATGCTGCTAGCGCGACGACGATTTGGCTGGTGCGAGAATGAAAATGGTGAAGATTGGTGGTCGCGGCATAGCAAGAGATCGTGTTGGGTGGTGGCGCGAGAACAAATGTGAGATGCGAAAGTGATGGAGGTGCAACAGAAGGGAGAAGACGCTTTGGTGGTGGTGCGTGATGTGTTGGAGAGGACGGCTGCCGGTGAGGATGACGGTGACGACGCTGGATCGTGCGGCGGCTAGGGTTTCTTAGAGAGAAATTACAGTTTGTGTGGAGATGGTGATGATGATGTGACATTTGCACCGTTATGTTCTTAACGGCGTGAGCGAAAAATGACCGAATTGAACATTTTTTAACGAAATATGGGGTGTTACTGAACTTTTTAAAAAATATGATTACTTTGAACCAAACTCCTAAAAGTAGGGACAAAATAAAAATATCAAAACTAAATTAAGACAGAATCAAAATACAAGAATCAAAGTAACTCTAATGCAATAACATGTGGCTTGACAATGACACATGATACTTACTATACACATAATGTTAGTTTGACACATAGTATTTTATTTATTTAAAAAATAAATAAAAAAATAATTAAAATATATTTAAAAAAATTCAACAAAAGCACGAAGTGACAACTGATATTTTTCTTAACGATTTAGTATAAAACTATTAGTAATAATCTAATTACTTTAATTTTTTAAAAATAGAAATTCAATTGAGATAAAGAAAAAATAAAAAACTTATTTAAGAAAAGTCACTATGACTATCCATATGATTAAACTTCTCGTTTATTTTTCTTATATTTTTATTAAACTAAAGAACTTAATTTTAATTATTTTTATTGAGTATGAGGTATTTTAATAAAGTTTCATATATATCTTTTACGCAGACAAAATTACAAAAAAAAAAATAATTAAAAGTTCATTATTTACACTGAATATTTTTTTATTTTTTTATTTTATAAATTCAAGTTCTACTATAGTTCCATAATCTTGTACAAACTAAGTAACAATAATATTTATTTTTACAATTTAATATTATAAGGTAATAATATGTTCCAGATTTTGTAAGTTGGTAACAATAACTTTTAATTTTTATTGTATAAATTTTTATTTATTTTGGAGATAATTTTATTGTAAATAGTTATTTTAATTTAAGTTTTCTTTAGAAAAAAGATCAGAAAATATAAACAGACAAGTAGTTGTTGGTTTACTTAAGAATTTATTTTAAAACATGTATTAATTTTGAAAAAAAAATCCTTTTTTTCCCTAAAGGAATTACTTCTACAATATCTAACGCGCCATTTTCTATTTTCGAAAAATCACCACTACTTAGAAAATATATAATTTGTTCTAAAAAAATATTCGAATAATTTTTCTATCTTAAGGTATTTGGAGATCTTTGAATAAATCGTTATCACTAAACGAATAAAAAAGGAAATTATGTAGAAGATAAACAAATCATAACAAAAATGATATGAAAAAGATGTCACAAATTTATTTTAAATAAAGTAAATTGCGAGAGTATTCATTATTCTTCTTCATCTTTGTAAACCCTTTCGTAGCAGCACAGAGAGAGAGAGGAATGGGTACTCGAGAGGTCTACGAAGAGAAACTAAGGAGGGGAAATCTCGATCGCGATCCTACTCTCAACCCCGGCCTTGGTTCCCCACGATGCCCTCGTTGTCTCTCGCTTCTCAACCCTAATTCCGTTAGTATTTTTCTCACTTTCTTTTTCTCTAAGTGTTTGTTTATAACTGCGCTTAAGGTGTTCGATGAATTGACTCTACGAATCTGTCTTTGTTTTACGATCAGGAAAGAGGCGAGTGGACCATCACTCCCGTCTTGCACGACGCCACTGCTGTCGTAAGTTCCTTCCTTCCCAATTGGATCCGCTTTGGGGTTATCGTATCATTATATATTGATTTTAATTCTGTAATGCAGACGAGGTTGTTGAAACATTGCGAATTTTGTTTTTAGGATTCAAAGTTCGAACTGACTTATTTTGGGCTCGAGTTCGGACTGTGCTTTTGTTTTATGAGTATTCTTTCTGGCTCCTTATTGTCTTTGTGCTTGCTGTTAAATAGGCTGGCTTGGGGATTGGCGCTATGCTTAGTGTAGTTCATGGTTTCAATACAGGTAAGCTTATTTATTTGTTTTCTTCTTTGTGGTATACCGTTGGGGATTATATTAGATTTGATATGTAATTTCTTTTCTGTATTAATCTCAGGCCATTTAATTTAGAAAATGTTTTAAGTATTTGTTTTTTAGTTAAGAATTATAATATAGTAGGACATTTTAATATCTTTGAAATTTTGGTCTGTGGTGGAGCCAAATGCTGTCGTCGGATCCATATGTAGCCGCCCTCACGCTGGGGGATAAGGCTTTGTTGTTGTATTATAATATTTAGAGATGATGTTAAATCGTTTGTGCTGCTAATGGATTAAAATTAGAATTCATCTTCCTTCTTGTTGAGGATATTGCTAATTATCTTTGGGTGTAGGTTTGCCATATCTTCTAAATGCTGTGAAGGGACCGAAGTGGCTTCCTCTCGTCGTTGGGGTATGTAGGCCTTGATTGACTTTTGAGTTTGCTTTGCATATTGAAATTACTTGGCTTTATGCTCTGTTTCTGCCGTGAATAAACATAGCATAGAAGTTGGTTTCAAACGCCTTCCTTTTATACTGAGCATATTTGATGTTTTGATGTACCATAGAGTTCTGTTTTATACTATAGTTATCTTGTTTCTTTTATGGTTTGTTCACAGATTCCTCCATTGTTGATATTCTCAGGCATAAGTTCTGCTTTTGGAGGTAACTTCTGCACATGCCTACATCTTAGGTTTATATTTGGTTACTTATATTTTTAATAGGGCTTACTGAGTCACAGCTAAATATTTGACAACTATTTGATGGTAGTGGCTTTAACATAAAAGGAAACATGAACGGATAGGTTATACCCCCATTTGTTTCTGCTTTTGCCAATTGGTTTACTTGAATCAGTTTTGTAAATCTCAGCCTTGGGTATGTGTGCTAGTAACATGGAGTATATACTCCCAGTGTATGAAATAATATTCAAACAAATATAAAAAGCATTTATGATGACTGAAATGGAAAAAATAGCCTTAAGAGTCACAAATAACATATCGTCTAGCTACTATTGAAAATGCATGAAAAGATAATGACTCAGTTCAAGTTTAAGGTGTAACTGATGATATCAAAGACATTAGTTTTAGTAACAAAAGAACAAAAGAGACATGTTCTTTTACGTCTATAATCATCTGGATTGGGAAAAAAACCGAAGTTTCACATCAACTTAAAATAATGCCAAAATATAGTATATAATATAAGTGGGGTAAAATCTTCATCTTATAAACTGTTTTTGTTGAATTAAGTTTAGGTAAGTATGTATATTCCACTGAAAACTAAATACTGGAAAGTTTTCATTCAGATCATGCAAATTTGCTATTATGGGTGACTGCATTGCCTTGGGTAAACAAAGAGAAATTCTTTATCCCTGTTGTTTAGGCTAAGGTCACCGTTATTGATAGTTTCTTAGTAGAACATCAGGATCCTTCCAAATACTTGGAGGATTGTGCTCCTTCTTAGTTGGGATGCAATGTACACCATACGGAGGAGTATTGTACATGCATTAGAAACCCATAGCCTGTTGGATGTGTTGGATGGATAGCCTGAGTTGAAGTTTATTTTGAAGTCCAAAATACCTGAGGGAACATTCAGGATTAGTTGCTCAAGCTAAAGACGGAAGAGTTAACAATCCACTGGTATATTCTAGAAGAAAGAAAAAGGTAAGTGAGATGGTAGTTAGTCAGTGATGCTCTAGTTGTCAGAAGTGAGGGACTGGATGGTTTATGGGGAAGAGATGTGGAAAGCGGAGGCCATTGAAGTGAGTAGTATTTCTCTGCTGGAGTGTGGAACAAGGATATTGTCTTCCTGTAGTAAGATTCAAAAGAGAGCTTTTAGTAGATCGTTACATGGGGAAAATTCTAGAAAGCTTTTAATTGCTCGTTACATTAGGAAATTCGAAAATCCTTTTGAGGAGTTTCTTAACCTAAGGCAAAGGGGGGTCTATTGAACAATTTATCAAAAAATTGAAGCTAATATCTTTTGATCCACGTCATTCCACTTGCCATAGCAGTATATAAACTTTTGTTGGAGTGGCTGCAGCCTGATGAGCATTGGAAAATTACAAACAAAAATTGGTTGAAGGTTCACCATGGACATGGGGCATTTTACTTGTTAGGCATTGCTCCACGTTCATGCTGATGTGAACTGATGTCGGATGAAAGATATTGCAGTTTTGAATCTCAAGGACTAATTTCTAAATTTATAAATCTTAGGGACTACAGTTAGTGATCGTAACAACTTTTAGGGACGACAGTGAGAATGTACAACCTCAAGCATGGAGAGGCTGTACACCAGTGATTAGTGAAATGGAAGGGGAAATCTGTTGATCACTTAGTCAATTCCCCACATTTTGTCTTGAGGACAAGGAAATTCTTCAACAGGAGGGCAGTGATAGGGTCCATGAATCTGAAGGAGAGGTAATGATATAAGGCCTGAATTTTGGAGGGTTTACCAGAGGAGTGCAGAAGGGGTTACTAGCGGAGATTCAATAAATGGCTAGGCTGAGGTTAAACATTTTGTTATGCCAAAATTAGGGGTAGCGTCAGGTGGGTTTGAGAGGGAGAGATTTGAATTTTATAATACTCCTGTAACGATGTGTAAAGAGCTTCTTCTCCAAGGTCTGTCCGAGCCTCTCTTTTTTGCTTCTGGTTTACGTATATTTCACTGAAGCTTACTATAATACTGGGGATTTTTCTTTCAGTTCTTGGCGTTTTGCCTAGTATTTTGCTTTTCTGTCCAGTATATTTAGTTCGTTACAAGTCAGCCCTTACCATCTTGCATCCTGCAGTCATGAACAATTGACCATACATGCGAACCTGACTGTTTGAAGAGTATAAAGGAGTTACCCCCTTAAATTAAAAAAATTAATGGGTTGGTGGAAAATAGGTTTAAGTGAGAACAAAGTAGAAACTTCCTTTAGCATATGCAAGAGCAAAATAGAAGTCTTGCCATCTTCATAGACTCCAAGAGCAAAATAGAAAAGGGTTTTTTGTTTAAAAAGAAATGAAATAGACAATAGACTCCAATTTTGAGGAAGCATTGTGGTTGTAATGCTGTGTTTAGGGTATATGACTATTCATGCAAAAACTTGACAACCGAAATAGGTGAATCTTAGTGGAGCTTTGCAGTAGTTGGTGTCCCTAAATGGCATAGCTTCGCTGCAATTGCGCTTTTATTTGCTTGAATTGACTACTTTAGCATTAAGATGTAATATTTGGTAATTGATGCATGAAATACAGACTCTACTATCGATATTACTTATAGATTGAACTGATGTTTACAGTAGAATATGTTACTTGCCATGTGGTATGTCATACACCTTTCATAAGAAAAATCACTTAGAGGTCTTTTAAGTCTTGTAGTTTATTGTGTCGATGATACTATATGCTTTAAATACCTTTTAGTAATGTGGATACATGTGGAAATTTTAGGATATGTGCTTCCAAAGTTCACTCAACTCACCGTAACATCCTATTATGCTGCATCGAGTGCCTCACATTATGGAATCTCTCTTGTTACCCGACATATTGAAGAGAACTACAGCTCCAAAACTCAGCATCTCAAGAGGCTCTGATGATATTCCTTTCGGGTGTACTTACAAGGAAAATACATTACCTGGCAATTTTGTCTGCATAAACGTCCTGTGGATGGTTAGGATTGTTAAACCCTAGTAACATTTTTGTTTCTCCTTACGGAAATGCTTATATGTGAATAATCCTTGTTTATATTTTACTATTAAGCTTTGGTAATAAGAAGTCCATTTATTTAACTGTAGTGTGTAGTGTTTCAAGGGCTAGCAACTATGAAAAATAATTAACAAAAAATCTAGTCAACCTTATTTTTTTAGTAATTTTATCTGTAAGGTTAATTTACATAAAACTAATTCTAGTCTGCAGCAGTTGAATGGGCCTCACATGCTCTGCTAGGGTATATTGGTGGTTCTACTCTCCTAAATGATTTAGTTATTGTTTCTCTATCTCTGTACTTTATTCTTACTCATAATATAAAACATGATTGACATGCCTTTTCTCGTAATTTAATTTGTTTAGGTTACGGAAGTGAATGCGTTCGTATTTAATATTATACATAATTTAGAATTTTAAATTGTGTAATTTGGAAGAATATTTTAGATTGTATAATTTTAGAATGAGATTGTACAATCCGAAATGTGGTTTTGAATTAGGTAATTTGATATTATATTTTTGGTTTGCATAATTTACAATACGATTGTATAGTTCTGAATTATGTAGTACGAGATATAGCTTTATATCACAAAATCTGAATCTGTTTACATTATATAATTTGAGAGAAATGTATTTTAGATGGTTTTGAATTGCATAATCTAAAGGTTTTGGATTACTTACTTTAGAATATAGTTTGAAATTGATTATAAAGAGTAAATAACATGATAATGGTAATTTTTGTTATAATATGGGACGAGAGAAGAAATTACGAATATGACTAAAGAAAACCTAAAAGGAATGTTTAAATATACTTTGGGATGTTCATTATTATTATTTGGAAAATGATACTTGAACAACCATTTTTGACAACATTTAGACACGCGCACACGTGTCAAAATCTGAGTGGTCCAGTTGGAAAAATTAAATGAAAATGGACCACTCAGATTTTGACACGTGTGCGCGTGTCTAAATGTTGTCAAAAATGGTTGTTCAAGTGTCATTTTCCTTATTATTTGGTAGTTGTAGGATGTGCTGAGAATCATTCACAGAAAGAAAGTACTTAAAAGAGGATTGTGTAGCGGATAACATGATTAAAGCTGTCAATGTAACAGAGATAAGGTTATACCAAAAATGATACATAGTAAATAGAACACACCTAAATTTAGAGGGATTTTTCAAAGGGTATCTTCTAAAATATTTGATAGATTAGTCAATTTAAAAGGGTATTTTCTTTTCAAGCAAAACCTTAGTCTTAAAAAAAAACTATTCTCAAATATATAGTTATTGTAAATAGGGCAGTAGCTAGATTGAAAGAATGAAGATAATATTTTTGTTGTAAGATTGAAAAAGCAGGTGTAGAATAATTTTGGCCTGTTTTGTAGAAGATTGAAGAAGTTTCATCAATTTTTCCCCTAACTAACCCATTGGCCTACATCAATTCTCAAGTAACACGTTATGCCTTTTATTATTTATCAACATAATACATTTACTATGTACTTAAAATATTCGATTCTCGAACAGTTTAATTCTGGTTCTTATTTTGGTTATCAACACTTGAAACAAATGTGGTAACCAGATTACTAAATTACAGAAAATAAAATTAGATTTTGAATCAAATAATATAATTAACAAAACAAAGAAATTAATATCAAACTAACTAATCAAAATAAAGAAAACTTATTAAGTTATTTACATAACATATAACATAATATATATGGAAATTTTAATCATATATTAAAATAAGTTAATAACATATTTAGAAATTAAATTAAAAATAATGATTTAAAAAGAAATTAAATCACACATCAAATTTTTGAAATTAAATTAATAGTATATTTAGAAATTAAATGTGATTATTTTGATCTGTGATTTAATTTCTTTCTCAACTCTTTTTCTTTAATTTCTTTCTCTCTCAACTCTTTTGCTTTAGTTTCTTTCACTTCACTAATTTTATTTTTTATGTTTTTCTTTTTTTTTCATCTTTTCCTTTTTCATCACAATTTGAGTATTTCTTCTTCAATATTTCATTTAATTTCTATAGTTATGCTCTTTCTTTTCTTTCCTCAAAATTTTCTTTCAATTTTCTCTCCATATGTGAAAGAAACTCAACAACAAACAATTTGTCAAACAACTTGTGGTATGTATCAAGTTGAAGGACACTTTTAGTACTAATACCTCTAATAAATTTGAAAATACAAATAAAAATTAAAATTATTTATGAAAAAAAACTCACATTAAAAGCCTAAGCTTCTCATACCAACGGATGAGAAATCAGTACGGATTGTTTTGATATTCAGTTTAAAGAAGCATATTGATGCTATACTTAATAAAAATGAGAAAATGAGTGATGAGGATAATCGTAACATTTTACCTAGTAAGATCAAAATTGATTTTTATAATTTAGAATTCTAGAAGCATCTCACAAATAAAAATCTCATTTTCTATCAAATTAATATATATATTCTATTTGTATTACAACTGAATTTTTATTCAAAAATGATTTAAACAAATTCTTTTACATTTTATATTAATTTTCAATAACTAATATTTAATATTAATTAATATTGCATGAATACTTATTTCTTATATTTAATTAAAAGATAAAAATTATAAAGAAACTAAAAGATCCCTCAACAACTTATTAATTTTTTAAGCGAATTACTTGAAAAATAAGAATTCCATATACTGTTTGTGATTTAAAAATAATAAATATTTTAACGTATGTTGTTAATTAAAGCATTTATTTAAAAGAGTTTAGGAATATATTAATTAAATATTTAATATATAATTTTAACGTTAATTAATTAATACTCTTTAAAAAATATTAATTATTAATATTAAAAGTTATAATGATTTAGACAAATATTTAAATATAAATTAGTAATAAATATTGTTAAAATTATTTTAAAAACATTTATTATGATTAATAATGATTTAAAAAAATTAATGTAAAATAAATTCGAGAAATGATTATTAACATTAAAGGTAAAGTTATATCAAAGTAACTTTATATAACAGATCATAAATGAGATAGAAGAGATAATGTAGGAAAAAAAGAATTGAAGAATAAGAACCACAATATATATGGAACATGTTTTGCTGTGACATTGTAAATCTTTTATATGTTAAAAAACATATCAATTTTATACCAATATTTTAAGGAAACACAATTTGTCCATGAAAACATGTTTTGCTGTGACATTGTAAATCTTTTATATGTTAAAAAACATATCAATTTTATACCAATATTTTAAGGAAACACAATTTGTCCATGAAATCGTATATTTTGGTCTTAAAGTGAAAACATATGAGCCACATTAAATTCAGTTTTAAAATTATGCTACAGGGGACCATACTACTTTAGTAAATAATTATCACAATATTAATTCTATGCATTTTATTGTTTTCATTTTGTAGACTAAGCATCAGCAATACATTTCAACAATAATACGAATTTGCTACTCTTTCAAAAGTAGATATTAAAATATTTTTTAATATTCAATCTAATTTTATTTCTAACACAATACTATTTTAATTATTTTCTAAATGTATTAATTATTATAATTTATTTTATTACATGAATTAAATCATTCTTAAACTTTTCACTTATTTTCTTCAACTATACAATTTCTCTCCTTTCATTTAAATTATCTCATTTCTGCCCTCTTTTTATCCTTCTATTTCTTTTTCCACTCATTCCAATATAAGGGATTAACATTAAAAAAATAAAACTTCTTATGGGACAGTATTCTTATTCTAGATTGAAGTCAAACTCATTATCATTAAAATCTTTAATTTATTATCTATATATAGCACATATTTACAAATTCGACATATACAGAAAGAAAATTTAAATAATTAAAGCAGTAAAAAAAGTTAATAATTTTTAATAGAAATTACAGGTTAACTTAATCAGAAGATTGACACAGTTTCAACAGTTTTAAAAATTCCTATTTTTGAGAGTTGATTGGAATCACTGAAAGACTTCCTAAAAGTTCAATTGGCCAATCCAAGATCCTATTTAACATTATGATAACCTAATGAACCAAGTGGGTCAGATCTTTTTCCCAATCAGTGAAAAAAAAATTAAAGTTTATCTAAAGAGAAAATAAATAATTGGAATCATACAGTGCTATTATCTTAGCCCCTTTAGTCATACCTATATGCATACCATAGATATTTTTTTAGGAGGTAATATTTTATAGTTCAAGAATGGTACAATTGACAAAATAGTCATTCAAAATGTAAATTGTCACAACATAGAAATAGTCAAAAGGGTTAATTTCTAAGTTGAAATTTAAATCCATCACCATCATGATAAACATTAGCATGAGTTTCTGAGACCTAGAATTAATGTAATGGACAAAATGACAGCAACAGATTTTGAAGTAAAGCCAATTGAAGATTCCATTTCTGATTTGTGTGTGAAGAGGGAAACTTCCATAATTAAAGGAATAAAATTGATGAAAATGGAAAGAGTGGGAGAGAAATTGTTATTATTAGAAGCATATTTGTGAGATGAAAAAATGGTGATTAGTAGTGATAATGTGAAGGAAGTGGTAGTAGGAAGAATTAACATTGGACAGATGGGATGAGAGAAACAACAACAATAATAATAAAATTATGTAAATTTGTTTGTTCAGTAGATGTCATAATGGAGTTGTGTTATGACAAGTGGACAGAAACTGAACATGAAATTGATTTGTTTAGGTGGATATCACATGTAGCTGTGAATCAAACTCACTTAACCAATAAGGCATGAGATAGGGTTGTGTGTGGGTGTGCCTACCGAGCATTCACTTGCTGTGGTCCTACATTGTACATTTGGATCAATTAATGAATAAAAAAACTTGGCAGCTCCTAAGACCCAGAGATGGTAGCTTCTAGGGGTGACCCTAGCTAGGGACTACCATTCCCATCATTCCTTACCTTCAAAACTATTATACTTTCTCTTAGCATCCATTCTTTGTGGGGTTCCAAATTAATTCTAAGATAAAGAACGGTTTAATCGTGTTTGTAGTTTTTGTTTCCAATTGAAAAATTCATTTTAGTCATTATATATAAGATTGCTTATTTAAATATCATT